CGCCCCCGCCTATACCATTAGCACTTAATGGTAAATCATCGAGGAGTGCAAGGTTTGGGGTGTAAATTGCATCCTATCTATAGAGCTATTCCCTCCAAATTATGTTGGAGGAACATTATTAAAACAGTACTAGAAATCCACGCACCCCTTCTGTGTGGTGTCCATTCTGTGGTTTATCAGAACACTTCAACTGAATGCCTTTGAAAAATGCTAAATTTAATCATCTTTTTTATATAAATAGTGTTTTCCTTCAATATATACTATTTGTCTTTATTTGTTTTCTTTTAATGTTGTTTCTTACACTACTGCAAATGCTAAAAGATGTTCAAACAGAAAACATACAACGATGATTACTTTAGGGGCTTGTATGCACAGGGACATGATTGTGAACAAGCTAGGGTATGAATTTAAAATGCAATGGCTATTCTGCACTAACTCTGTGTGGTTACTCTTACTCCCTAATAACAAGATGATTTTACAGTTTAAATTAATCAAGTTGGTGTCATTATGATGCCATATAGTTGGATTTGATTTTTTTCCAGCTGGGTTTTTTTTGTGCGTTGGGTTTTTGTTGTGGAGGTGGTGGTGATGGTTGTTTGTTAATCTGGGAATGAACATTTTTTCTGGAATTTCATAACTTTTGAGTGCCTGTCTTGATAACATTACAGAAGGCAGGGTAGGTTTGTACCTTTATAGACTAACTAAATACGATATCTAGAGAGAGCACAAGCTTTCGTGAACCCAAGTTCACTTCATGAAATGTTGTTATAACCTCACAAGCAACCGTCTTAGCAAACCAAAATCTAATGGATTAATTTAATCAAAAAAGGGCAGACTTTTACTGTTGAATAGGACTGAATAGGAAAATTAATACAGAATAGTTATTCCACCTTGATCTACCCTACCTTTGTTTATGGGTAATTTCTTCATGTTGATAAATTCTAAGGGTATAATAATTGTGCAAGCATATAATTTTTCAGATTTAACTGTGCAGCTATCATTAAAATCCATAATAGTTTATGTAAGCCAAAGGGGGCCAGATGTTCTGGCAGGTGTGCCACAAATTGGCCATGTACCCTCCCCAAGTACCACTCCAGTCCCCTTATTCTGCTTAAACTCCTTTTCTGTTTTCTGCTCTGCCTTCTGCTTCCTGCTGTGCGGCCTGTACTCTCCCTGATCTCTCATGTGCCACTTACACAGGCTGCCCAGGCCACTTGTGCCACTCATGCTGAAGGGTGTTTACCCTTGATATAAGCTATTTGCATAGTTATTTATATACATTTGAAATAGAGGGTCCTATATTGCAATACCTGACCTGATGTTGAAGTATTTCTACTTCTTTTCTAAATAAGCATATTGATTAAGTATTTTTTTTTAAATAGTGCATGTAATCGTGTGACCATGTGTCAGCCACTTGCCATGCTTCAGTATCCAGAAGTTAGTCATCATTATTGTTATTATTGTTGTTGTTATTGTTATAGTTGCTGTTATTATTAGTAGTAATTATTATTGACAAGACTATTTTTAGCTACATAAGCATATCAAAAAAATTATGTTATTCAGGAAATGTAGAATGGGCTATGTGTATATATTTCCTTTTTTTCACCACTACATTCATCTTCAATTTCTCCAACAGAAAGGAGAGCCCAATTGTAGTGTTCTTTCACCGGAAACCACAGAACAGCTGACATTTGAGATCCCTCTGAATGACTCTGGTTCTGCAGGACTTGGTGTGAGTTTAAAAGGCAACAAATCTCGAGAGACTGGGGCTGACCTTGGGATTTTCATCAAATCAGTAATCCATGGAGGAGCTGCTTTTAAGGTATGGAAGAATTGCATTAGTACTTGGTAATGGTTACATTCAGATGTTCATATATTCAGTTGTGATTCTGGTTCATCTAGGCGTCTTTTTGAGGAATGCTTGTCACTTGCAATAGAGTGCTGTTCTAATAACAGTGTTCCTCTCTCTATATATGAATATATATGATGTGTATATATATATGAAATAATATATGAAATAATATATATAAACTTTTAATCCACAAATGTTCACCTTATAGTTAAGGAGGCTCAAAATGCTGCTTGACTCAATAAAGAGATCTTACCAACTGCATGCCGTTGTTTCAAAAAAACCATTTAAAATGATGGTAGAATTATGACTATTTTGAGTGAAACTGAGGGAGTGAAATTCACTTTGAGTAAAATTTTCAAACATGTCTAAATGAATATGATTTAGATTTCCTTATTCATATAGGCACTTTTGGCAATTCTGCCCTTTGTCTTAGAATTGAGGTTTCTGTAGATGTTGAAGAAGGTAGAACGCATGAACTGAGATTAATGATTTTCTTAATTTTAATAAATACACTGACAGAAAATGCTCCTGAGCTGGTTTAACTGTATGTTTGCCATTTTGGTGTGAGATTTTCCCCTGTGTGTTTAACAAGAAAAGTTTTACATAGGCCTGATGTGTAAGAATTGAAAGAGGATGACCAAGCTTAAACAGATGTCATGAGGCATATCATAGCAGCAGTGGTGACTGCAGCAGGTCTCTCTTGCTTGCAGATTTCTGTATTTGAGGTACATATATTTAGAATGATTTATAACTCTGTGGACTCTGAGGGAAGGAAGAGAGTAGGGTAGGAATATTAATTAAAATGCTAAATTTGACAAGCTTAGAATTTCAAACATGGGGGAAAAATGTTTTTCTCACTGTCCTTTATGCTCTACCACTGCCTCCCCCCGCCCCTTTTTATGTCACCTCTGTCCTTTCCATGTCCCTGTCCCCTGCATATCAGTGAGGCTCTGCACCCTGGGTGGAACAGGCAGAAGCAGGGGCTAGTTGTGGCAGGTGGGATGACGGTGCTGATAGCTGCCGTTCTTGTACCCACTCAAAATGGATATATGAGGCTGGTGTCCTGGGCACCCATTGCTTGTTACATTACTACCTCTGGTTATCTCTGACTTCTGAAGCTGAGAATTCCCTGTTACCTTTTGCCTCTAAATCCTTCAGCCTCCTCTACACTTGTCAAAGTATGCCACAGAGTACCTGGGTCTCTCTTATCTAGTAAGGTCAGTCAGAAGGGAACTCCATGGTGGTAGACCTCTGGAAAGCATTTTAGCTGTTACAGTAAGGAGATGCAGTATAAAGTATAATGGAATTGTCAAGTGGGGAAACTGCCTCCCTCACATGATCTAGGAGTCAACACAAGCTCATTGTGAAAATTCAGGGCTCTGTTGCATTCTGTGAAGCAAAAAAAATATAAAATGTAGTGTTTTCTCTCCACTGATTTCATTCTTTCCAGAGTTGCAGGGGTGACCCGTAGATCTGTGAAGCAGCACCAAAGAGGCTGAAATGACAAATTTATTTCACGTTTAAAAGAATAAAATTTCAGCCGTCCTATGCTATGAAGGATGATGTGTTTAATTTGTGCTGGAATTAAAAAAAAAAATGTCATATTATTTTAACTAATAAATCAAAATATTATTGGTAATATAGAAAAACATGGCTTAGCTGAGGTTGACGTCTGTTGAATAGAAGCTAACAATTATTGCTGAGTTGATTGTAACCTGGTATATCACAACATTGTGACTTGTTCAGATCTTTCATAAAAGGAACAGCTCTTGTTTGTCTTAATGTTTAAAAAGAACTCAAGGACTTGTTCGTGTTTAGAAAATGTATTCATTCTCAATATTTCAAATAAAACTTAAATAGAAATAACTTTCTTCAAATTAAAAACAAATCTATTGGTAACTTTTTTCTTTGTACTCTCTCAGCAGCTCCTAACCATTCTGTTTTCTGTACAAATATCTTTAATTCAGTTCATGTAAATTCATCTTCTGATTCAGTCTGCTGAATAAGGCAGTTCACAACATGAAAAATTACACGATCACATATTTATAGCTGATGTTTAAATGGCAGATGGCAGTAATCAAGGTGTTAGCTTTTATGTGCGTGGTTAACACTCAATTGCCTTTATTTACCTTACCATAGAAAAGGGGAAAAATTGTGATAGGACTAAAATCAAATGAGCAGGAAAGGAAGTTTTTATTTCCCATAGCTTCATTGTTCGGATTCCAAACATCAGAACTTTTCCCTTGTGGCCTACCTCCTTTACCAATGAGATGAGTGTTTTTCTTCCAGCCTTCCAGCAGGACTGTCCCCCCAAGTGTGGCCATGGAGCCTCCTGGTGGCCATGCAGCTCCTGCCTCCCTACTCCAGCTCCTCAGGGAACCATCCCTTTTCCTTTCCTGCCACACCTTGTAACAAGGGGGTACTTGTAACAGGGGGGTCTCCGGGCACCGGAAAACATAGAACATCCCCCCCTCCCCCCTTTTAGGGCAGTCTGCCCCTGCAGTGGCCTACTAAACCTTGATGTAAATGGATCTGTAATGCAGGAGGCTGCCCCATTTTCAGCCCTGGTATACTGGGCCAGTCACACAGCTCTGAGCCACCCCTATACCATGTCCCATGCGTTGCAGATGGCATCCTATATTCCATGCTACTCCCCTGGCCCCTCCCTGGGCCACAATTGGCCTCTGGCCCGCACAGGCCTCAGGCCCCACTTGGTGGACCTTGGACCCTTGGTCCCTTGCTGGGCCACACTTCATCCTCTGACCCCTCACTGGGCCACACTTCCCTCTCTGTAGGCTTCAGGCCCCACACTGGGCCTTGGCCCCTCTCTTGGCGTCTCACCCCTCAAGCCTCAAGTCCCTCTCTGGGCCTCTCGCCCTTCAGGCCTCAGGTCCCTCCTGGTGGACCCTTGGCCCCATAGTGCTTTTCTGTCGCTGTGTGCTCCCCTAGCCTTTCCCCCTCCATTGGGTAACCCACAAGGCAGTGGTGGGGGCTGAGGCTTTCCAGTGCCCCATCCTCACTTTCCTCTGGAGTGGCCCACATGTGGCATTTCTTGGAGGCTGCCCTGCCACCAGCAGGACCACCACATTAACCAGCTCCAGCACGATGCAGTTTCAAGTCTTGCCCAGGATGAAAAGGAACCTCCTCCATCCCCATAGTTCCTACCCTAAAACTCTGGGTGTTACAGGAGCTGCAGTCTTCAGGCTGGGCAATGTTACTGCTCCAGCTCCCCAGATGTAACTGCCAGCCCTGCTCCCAGGGTCTGAACTTATACCTTGTCTGTCCAGCCCTCCTCCAATCAGGTGCCCCCCTGCAGTCAAGTGACTACATAATTGGGCCTGAACCCACCGGCCAGTTGCTCCACAGCCTGCCTGATGGTCTTAAAGTGGCAGGCACAACCAGTGCAATACTGCAGTACTGTTGTGATGTTAAGGGAGGCTGCCCCAGGGTTCCAGAATGAGCCCTGGTTCACTTTGGCCAGCTGGTATCTCTTGGACCTGTCTGGCCCCAGTCTTGCACCTCAGGCCCAAAATTATGGCCCTCTGCCCCTATTGGTGCCTCAAGGCACTAGTTGCATTATGGGCTAGATTCATGGCCTCTGCCCTCCCCTGTAGCCACGCCCATGCCTCACAGATCTTAGTCGGTGTTCATTTGAAGGGGACCTCATGGCCCCAGTGCAGCTTTGGACCCTCAGGTCCTTCCCAGCCCTGGCCTTTTTATTCTGGCTGCACCTTGCAGTCCAGGTCCACTGCCCCAGACCTTGGGTCTTGAGCCTAAGCCCCATCTTGCACTTGTGTGCTCTGAACCCCTAGCCCCCATCATGTGCTCTGGGTCAGCCCTCAAGCCTTGGGGTCCCTCCCCCAAGCCAGACTGCTCTCACTGTCTCAGCCTTGGTCCTCTGGGTCCCCGATCCCAGGCCAGGTTGCTCTTACTGCCTCATCCCTCTGGTCCCTGATCCCTAGGCTAGGCTGCCTGCCACTGAGTGCCCCACCAGGCACCCCTCTGTGTGCTCCAGTCTCAAGCTCAAAACATAACATAAATGCAAAGAAGCTGCCTCATAAACTAAAACTTTTCCTCATTCAGGGTTAAGGTTGCCTGCAAGCTATACATCCCTTGGAGGCCTCTCACCCCAGTGCCCTAGGGTGGCTAAGGTGCCTGCTTGTTGGTCTCTAGCAGCACTTTTCTCTTGGGACAGACCCCCTGCTTGTGCCCCAAAGCCCGGCATGTGGATCCCCACAGGGGTTTCCACTTGGGCTTGATAGCCAGCCTGCCCTCCTCTGGTGCAATAGCCAGCTGCTTGCTGCAGCAGCTAGCTGCTGTCCCTCTTAACTTTACATTCCAATTTGTAATTGTGAGGGTTTACAGCATTTTTTTATTATTAATATTTTGTAGTATGAGAGTACAGGTGTAATTAGGAGTACATAACAGATATTTATATCAAATGTTAAAAACATAATAGTTCTTTTCACATTCTTCATATTTCCTGCACCAACTCTTTCTACTTCTGTTGTTTATCACAGTATATTTCTGTTTGTGGAGGGTGAAACTATAAAGAACATAAGGTGAGACATACACGTACTGTCTTTCATTCTAGGGCCACTGCTTATGTTTATTTTGGTTTCTCCGCCCATATCTGGTTGCTTCCCACAGTACCTTGGGGATGAGAAATCACTATATAAGGTAGTACTGAAGGGAGAAGTGAATTGTAGTTGAACGCTGTAGGATTTTCATAGATTTTAATCAGTAACAGTTTGACTCTGTGTAACTGAGCCCCAAGCAGTATCCAAAGCATAACCTGCCCACCCATTCCCACTTACATATGCCAAAGTTGGAAAACCAATGGTGAAACCACTCCAGGGGCTTCCAACGTGGCTGCTCGTACAATCTGTTTCTGGCAATGGTAACAACTTCATTGTATCACTGCACTGCCCACGTCAGGGAATAGCTAGGAAAAGGCCACTTGAGATTGGTGCTCCCTAAGCAGGGACAGGCTCCTGGGATGAAAATCATGGCTGTTAAGTTAGGCATCTAAATTTTCCATACAGTGGAGGGGAGAGTTAGCTACTTAGGACAGGGCTTAACAACAGACAGCAGGCTGAACAAGGGAGCATTTAAGCTAGCCAAAAGGAAACATAGGAGGTTGGGTGTCGAAAATGTTTACTTCTTTTCTCATGTTTGGCAACCCATCACAGCCTTAGCCTTAAACCAGGCATCTGTGAGAGAGTAGGATGTACAAATTAAGCTTCCTATGTAAGTATGGCAATAGTCACCTAAGTCAGCATTTCTCAACCCGTGATTTGTGACCCAAAAGTGGGTCACAAGAATATATGAAAGGTCGTGAAAAACTTTGAAAACAGAGAGAATGGAGAAAAATGTGGGAAACCATGGCTTTTCCCTTGCAGGCTGGCAGAGTTCCAGCCTGCAAGGGGCTGCTTCGTGCCCCCCTGCCTTATACCCCACCCCCTCTGCCGTACACACCCACCCCCTGCTCCACACACTGGGGAACTGGGGCCTGGGCCCTGCCTGGTGACTCAATCCAGCACATGGGACCATGTCATCTGGCCCACGGGACTTGGAAATTTGGTGGTGGAGTAGCAGTGGTAGCTAGTTGCCATCGCTCCCCCTGCTGCCAAATTTTGAGATCTGTGAAGAGCACCACAGGACAGATGACTCAGCTCCATGGTCTTATTTGTTGTATTATTAGATGTTACAGCTTTGGAAAACCATCTTTTCCCATATGATTACAGTTTCTTTAGAATCCCATGGAGACAGAGTTTGCAGATCAGCTTGAAGTCATCAGATTATTTCTTACCCTTTTACAGACCACAATTGGCAGAAGAAAACCAACACATTTGTCTAAGCATTGCAATAGATGTAATCCTACAATCCTCCTTATATTGACCAAATAAATTTAATGAACCGAGTTTAAAATCTTCTTTCATCAATCTCTGTTTTTGAGAATGAAAGGAATGTATAAATTTATGTATAAAATGCAAACATTTTGGTTGGCTGCCATTATCTGTTATAGTCCATGTATAAAGGGTCTGAAGACAGGCCAGCATTTTTCAATTATTTCAAAATTTCAGCACACTGGCTTCACACTGATGCCTTTGGCTTTAGCAAGCCTCAAAGAATCCCCGTAATACAAATTGTGAAAAATTAAGGGAATTTTTTTAAAGATCTTCAGATAATTTCTGAAACGTAAAATGGGAGTACATGTTCAAGATCAGGGGTGGGCAAAATGCGGCCTGGGAGCCGGATGTGGCCCGTCAGGCCATTCTATCCAGCCCACAGGGCCCCTAAAATATTTAGAAAATTAATATTCATCTGCCCTGGGCTGCCTGTCATGCAACCCTCCATGGCTTGCCAAAACTCAGTAAGCGGCCCTCTGCCCAAAATAATTGCCCACCCCTGTTCAAGATGATACTTTTGTGGCACCTGATTGACACAAAATGGTGCAATAAAGAATGTCTTTATAATCTTAATGAGAATCTAGTAGGTTTATAGAACTCTATAGAATTAAATCATTTCTACACTTAATGATTGTACCTTTATGTCCCACATCTACCTCCTTTCTTGTGGGTTTTTTTTAAATCTTCTGCTATAATAGCTATTTCCAAATATTATATGATTTTAGTAATAACACCTTTCATCTGAATTTGAGTTGCTAAAGTGATCACTGGACATACTTGTTTAAATGTATCACCACATTCTGTAATTTCACTGTTTTTAATTTAGCTTGCATTATGACATTCTGGCAGAATACTTTATTGTGGTCCTCACAAATACATCACCAAAAGGAATGTAGCAGAACCACTGCTATAAAATTTACACAAAAGGGAGGGACTCTTTCTCCCTATATGAACATGCAGCACTACTAGCACAGTTAGGCCCAAGTCTAACTTCTAAAGGACCAAATATGAATGATAGTTGTTCATTGAATGGGATGGCCAGGAAGCAAAATTGACTGTACTGAATGCCATTAAGAAGTCCATTTTGAGTCAGGGGGGAAATGGTGAGTATGCCAAGGAGATGGCTAGATTGTGCTTTTGATGGGAAACTCCATTAGAGTGATATAGTTCTATGATCATTAGTAGAATTCAAAAACTTAAGTACCTTGCAGCCAAGGATTTGGTGGAATTTACCTCTTACTTTGCTTCCCCACTTGGATTCCCTTCTGGGAGAATAACCACTCTCCCAATAGTAACCATGAGCTTACAAATGTTCACATGGTTTCTCCCCCACAAAAAATGGCAATTCTAGGACAACAATATGCCATCTCTAACCCAGAAGATGTCACTTTCAGGAGAGTTTCTCCTGGTAGAATTATCACCTGTTCACTTACCCTGTTGAAAAAATCACTTAGCTTACCTTGAGCCAAGTGACTTATCTTGGACATGAAGGTACTAGTGTGGACCATAACACCAATGATATGCAAATCTGAGTTTGAAGATTTTTTCCAGTCTTCAAAATCACAGAAAAACTTTGTACTAAATACTTTCAATCCCCTCCAAAAACAGTGTTCAGCTTGTCTTCCAGTTGTTAACAGTGGCGAGGTGTTTTGGTTGTTGTGATTGTAAAGAATATTGGCCTGCTTTGTTTTTGCTCGTGAGTTTTTTGCATTTAAGTTGAGCATTTTAAAGTGGTCAAAAGAGCTTTTAAGAACTGACATCATACGAATACAGAAAGAATTAAAGACATTTTAAAAGAACTGAAAACGGAAAGAATGACAAGGCAAGCTTGTAAAACAGGAATGTTATGAAGGCTTTAAATCCACTGATAGGTGACCCTTATGATGATAACTCTGTATTTTTAATATTGTTGTGCCAAGGTAAATTTAAAAAACTCTAGTGTATACTTGAACATACTTTTGCTAGTAGTTTTAACAGATCTTTAAGCAGGAGAACTTATTCACAAAATGGGGGGAAAGTTCATCAGAGGGCAGTGGAATTTTAGATGGAGGATATTAGGGACTCTTAAAATTTTTGACATTTTACACAGGCTCACAAAAAGCAAATCTTCTTTCCACCAACTCCCACTGCAATGAATGACTCTATTCATTTCAGTGAATTTTATTAAGACACAAAGGAATTGTGACTGATGTGCAAGTAATAAAATTCCCTATCCAACAATCTTAACTCTTCTCTCTCTCTTTTCTTTCACATATCCTAGGGCACTGTTTCTGCATGCAGTGGAAGGGTAGGGTTAACATAATTTCTTTGGCTGTATGAAAGGTTACGTTGAAATAGTAGTTTGTTTTTCTCAGAATCTTCCTCGTATGTGGTACTGTTATTATCCTATCTCTTTACCCTCCCTCATTATTTGACTCATCTTCCAATTCTTTCCTTTATCCTCTTTCCTCTCCCTGTTTGTTTTCCTTTTCTGGCCTTTGCTGTTTCTTTTCATCCTGTGGCACTGCTTACTATTCATGTGCTGCTGTGGCAACAGTGATGATCCTCAGTGCCAGTAAAAACAGTACCTAAGGAAAACGGGTTTGTCACTGCAACTCTAAGTCACTTAAGCACAAATCATTTAGTTAGACTTGGCAGCAATACTAGAAGAGTTAATTGAACATCATTTTGATAGAAAAAATAAGAATTGAAAAGTATATATATTTTGGATTACTCAGATATATGAGATATGTAAACAGTTCTGACGAGTGCCTTATGAAGAATACATAATGAGCCTATGATTGAATCAAAATCATTTTAAGCAAGATAATGTTTTTCTAGTCCACTTCCTTTCCTGCTATTCATTCATCTCTTCCCCATTTCATACCCTTTTTCTTCCTTCTTTCAAAGGTCTGATACAACTTGATAATTGTGAAATGAGGAAGCTCTAAAAGAAACTTTCACCTCTTAATAAACAGAATTTATTTCTATCTTTCTATAATTTTGAAGGAGAAAGGGCCCTGTGATGCATGCATATATGAAAAAGAACCAGTCACAGATATTAATAAATACAGGAATTGGCCTACTAAACCCAGAAAATAACAGTGTGCACAATTGTATTATGTCCACAACTGTCAGTTAATCCTGGCAATGAAAGCAAATAGCTTTCTTCAAAAAACACAAACCACTCTAAGATGGCACAACCTCAATTTTGCTGTTGGCAACAGTTTCGCTGTTAAAATTATAGATGAAAAGCTTTTAATTGAAACATGGATGTTTATGTCTTCATGACCGTTCTGAATTGAGACTATTTCTTATAGGGTGGCATAAGTATTGTGGCAATATCAGCACCAGTACATGTATAAGACTGAATAATTTGTGCAACTGTATATATTTCTTAGTAGATCCTGAAAACAGATACACAATACTTTAGATAAGCTGCAAGATTCATTTTTGGTTGCACATCAGAGATATTAACAAATGTGGTTCATATGTTCTAACTTACAGCTGATATTTTGATTTTTCAGTTTGGGACTCATACAAATTATAGTATAGAGTGGCTGTGCAGCAGAGTAGTGTTTATACTTCTCTAACTGCCTCATTAACTGTTTTTCAAAAAGAGTGCGATTAAAAATCAAATATTGGCCAACCAGTGCCACACAGGATTTTTAGAACATCTCAATGTTTACAAGGTTTAATTTAGCTTTTAAGAAAGAAATGCTTGATTGCATCTATTTTTCCTGGATATTGTGTCCCACATATGGTCCTTTACTATTTTTGCTTCATGCAGGATGGCCGCCTGCGGATAAATGACCAGCTGATTGCAGTGAATGGGGAATCTCTTCTGGGGAAATCAAACCATGAAGCTATGGAGACATTGAGGCGTTCCATGTCTATGGAAGGGAACATTCGTGGGATGATCCAGTTGGTAGTCCTCAGGAGACTGGAGAGACAGATGGAGGTGATCGAAGAAACTTATTCATGAGTTAGATTCCTTGTGTTGAGCTGAGAGTTGTACACACAGCTCTTTTAATAAAAATCATGGAGGTAGTTCTTCAGCTGTCACTTTTAAAATATATATCTATTTCTATTTCATCTGAATATCCATCTCTGTCCTTTTAAAAACTTGGAAGCATTTTAAGTTTTGGAATATTTAGATTTTTATCTCTGGTTGAAGTACTGCAAGGTGGATTTATAAGTAGGCCTAGGTGACTTGCAAATTTATCACCTGGAAGTACCTTAAACCTTCTAGGGTTGGAGACTCATGAGACATGTCCAGATGAGCAGGGGCGTGAACCTGCAGCGGCACAAGTAGCGCTGGCACAAATTTGTTCCTCTACCTTGTGTGGCAGAACACACCCGTGCATGTGCCCTTTATTGTGGGACACATTGTCCCACTGTGGGCAGAGTACCTGTGCCCAGCTCCTCCCAGCTCCTGGCTGGGCTGTATGTGCTGCAGGATAGGGCTGGCTGGTGCACAGGGTGCCTCAGTGTGGGGTAGCTGGCAAGCAGCCCTCATGCTGAGGCACCCTGTGTCCCAGCCAGCTGGGAAGCAGCATGTGGAGACAGGGGAGAAGGCAGCTCAAAGCTACCTGCTCCCCCATCTCTGTGTGCTGCCAAGCCCCCAAGCTGAGGCACCCTGTGCCCCAGCCAGTCAGGGAGCAGCATGTAGAGATGGGGGGGAGCAGGCAGCGCTGGGCTGAGATACACAGAGATGGGAGGAGCTAGCCCAGGACTGCCTGCTCCCCCATCTTGAGGCACACTGTGCCTCAGCCAGCCATGGAGTGGTACTAGCTGGGGCACAGTGTACCTCAGCGCAGGGTCTCCCCCATCTCTGTGTTCATCCCGGCACTGCTATTTTTGCATTTTTTGTGCCATTTTTTCCCCCGGGTTTTTTGTTTGTTTGGATGGTTGGTTGGTTGGTTTTTTTGCTACCAAGAAATTCCGGTAGCAAATTTTGCCCCCACACTGCAAATTATCTATACCATGCGCAGTTTAACATGCAACACATGCATTTTGTGGCACCACAAACTGCGCATGCCTACATGTGTGGATGTGGCCATGGTGATTCAAGAACTTGGTGACTCTTGTTACATTATTGAAAGAGAGGTTAGATCTGTGTTCATATTGGTTCAAATCAGTTAATAAATTAACAATAATATTAACATTTGATCAAATCATCCAATAAACACAAGCAAGACTCAGTCATCAAACTATGCAATGTAAAACTGTTTTTTATCGAAGATTATCCAGAAACCCAAGTAACATATCCTGTAAGCCTCTGCAAAGCAGCTAGTATTTGCTTTGGATTCGGATTCGGCTGATTCAGGGGACAGTGATTCAATTTGGTGATCATTGTCCTGAATCGATTCGGGTGAATCGAACAGGCCCCATCCTCCACCCTCTCTCCCAGCCCCTTCAATGGCTGACCCGCCCCGCCCCAGC